CCTGTCAGTATGTCCTTTGCACTAGAAGAGCTGTCTTAGCAGCACATTTCTCTTCCTGTTTCCCTCTGCTCTGTTTTTGTTCAGCCTTCCAGGAATATGGGTTTCTTCTTTTTAATTAATGCCGAATTGTAAAACTCTAATCCTACATTGTTCCCCACCCTTGACTTCCTTGCTTTCCACCCCCACTTTTTTTGCTTGTTTAAAACAAACTTTATAGGGTGGCAGACTTTTGTGTGACTTCAACAAGTCATTTCCTCTGTGAGGAGACAGGGAGGGACTGTAAAAGCACTGACGACAAAGCACATATGGTCATTTTTTTAAACCATAGATTATTTCTCTATCCTCTCACTCATATGTTGCAAAAATGAAACCTGAAATGAGTCAATCCTCTGATTCCTTCTGGTGCTGTGTTATAACTTTTAAAGTAGACCTTTCTTGCTTTAAAGTCCTTCTTTTTCACATTTAAATCATTCAATTGGGGTCTATATAAAGTGGAACTGCAGTGCTTTGTTCTGTATTCCTTCTTAATGTAACTCCACAAGCCCCTCTTTCATCCCTTTTCTGAGTTGTGTTTAGATCAACTCATTTTGAGGCTGTCTCTTTAAATCCAAACAAGTTGCTTCACACCCCGCCCCCTTCCAGCTTCCAGATTGGTCCACTCCAGCATGATAGACGAGTATACAGCCTTCTATAGCACAGAAACATCTTAATTACAAATTAATTAACAGATGTCAACAACAGGAGACTTGTCCATCCAGCCTTACATGATGGAGCCAGAGTCTGACCCAAAGCCAGAGGAGAATGAAGACAACAAAACTGTAGTAAAGTCCAGACCTTATTTTGCAATTTTGTCACAAATACTGTGATAACAGTTCAGAAAATGTCATAAAAAACAGAGAAAACTGAACAGGTTGAAAATTTTGACCCAAACAGAATATAAACTTATTTATGCAGCACCGAGAGAAACTAAATTAAACTTTTCTGCACTTCTAGAGTAAACAAAATGCATTTAACAGCTAGAAAAGTAGATGTTGCATATGCCACCTTTTAATAAATTACTYAGCAGTTTCATGCTGTGTTTAAAATCACAGTACTACAAGCTGACACATCTCTCACTGCTTACTTTTCATCTAGTCTTAAGAAGCTCAAAGTGTTTTACAGATTTTCCCTTAGGAGAGTTTAACAAGGTCTGCTTTGACACCCAAACTGTTTTTATTTTAGTATATTTGTCCAAGTTAATAATTAGGTTTTGGATGTGGCGTATTGAAGTGACAGAAAAAATAACAACAATTTGAGGTACTTGAAGAGACCAAGACCCCACCACCCCTACTCCCCTGCCCTCTCTCAACCAGGCCAGATACTTTATTGAAACTCAGTTGGTAAGTGTGTTTGACTCAAGTGGAAAAAAAGGCCCCAAAACAAGCTCAGAGAAAGGAATCTGCCACCATGGTGAGTGTGCACATGTCAAAGAAATGTAATAGTTGTGAAAGGAGGGAGCATGTGGTTATGGCACAACCTCCAAATCCCCAACAAACAGCCCACAGCTCCCTTCAGTAAGGTTGACTTTACATGAACATATTTGCTCTTTGTGATAGCCGGCTTTTCACCGGCCCCTTCTGCTGAGAGAACGAGCAAACATTTCCCTCTCCCCCATGGATCTGCTGTTAACCAGTGACTGAAAGACGAGGAACAAAAGAGGGGAAAGAGCASTCAGAAAGTTAAAGAGAAGCTGTCTAAAAGCACTGAAGTTTAAAAAGAGGATAAATAGACCATGTTTGACATYGCTGATACTGATAACAACTTTAACGCAAAAGGGGGTAATGATAAGACATGTTTCAATGTTTTGTTTTTTTCATGTCATTAGAATACCTTTTGAAATTAGCAACAAGAACTGTTTATATTTCGTAGAGTTGTCAGTGATGCCATTTTTAAAAAGAGTGAAGTTTTAAATGTCCACTGTAAAGAATTGTTGGACAAATCACATCTCACTGTGAATGCCCCACTAACAAAACAACCTCCTTATGGACAAAATTAACTGTAGTGATGGGAACAACCTTTGGCTTAACTGTTTCCTTCCTTTTTATTAAAAAACATGTTTTAGTTTGTTCAAATAAAATTTAATCTTTGATTTTTTAAAATCAGACTACTGTGTTCAAATGTATGAAGATTCTCATGACTTCCTGATTACTTCATCGTTTATAAAAAATAATAATAATACTAAAAATGAAAACATAGCTACCTCGTTGTTTAGTTCAGTTGTAGAAAAACATTAAAATGTTGAAAAAACATTAGYCGAAGCGAAGCATTATGCTTCCCACACCATGGAATGACATCATGAGAAAGCACCTGTCACAAAACTTGCTGCGTGCCCAGGAAGCAGCTGCTAATCTATTGTAGTCTGGAGTTTTGGTTCATGGACGACATGAACTTCTCAACAAAGCCCCAACAATGATCTAAGTAGGAGGTGTGAAGGATGTGCCATTTTAAATGAAGTGCAGTGTCAGCCATTGACTTGTTTTTATTGAGCAATCAAGTTAACGATGTAACAGATTTGTTCACACTTAGGTGTTTATCTGGCTTACAGCACATCGGCAGAGTGTCTGAACTCCACCTGGTATTCAACCACACATATGAAAACACACAGATTTATACTGTGTCTTTATTTATTTATTTATTTATTTATTTATTTATTTATTTATTTAGACAAGTGAGGACCAGTGTTTATTTCTTTATAAACCAATAAACTATATTTTCTCAGCAATTTTATTTAAAACCTAAGGCATAATTTACTAAGGCAGGTGACTGGATCTAAATTTCAAACTACCCCAAATCAGAAAAAGCTTATAAAGAATGAAAAGTATGAACAAAAAACTCGGTACTCCACATTCCTGACATATCTGACACAGTATTGAACTTGTTTCCAGTGTGTGTTGGACTTTATCTGGGCTGCTCGTTATCCCTGGCCCTGTTTGTGGTCGTGGACAGGATTCTTGATTCACGTGGAGAGGAAGGTGTTGGCTTTGAGAACTGCAGCGTTCTGCTTTTTGTAGATGATGTGGTTCTGTTGGTGTCTCCAAACCATGACCTTCAGGAGGCTCTGGAGCTGTTCACAGTTGAGCATGAAGCAGCCGAGACGAGAGTCAGCTCCTGTGAGTCTGAGGTCAAGGTTCTTGACTGAAGAAATATAGAATGCTCCTTCGAGGAGTTGGAGGTGAGTCTCGGCCACAAATGGGGCAGTTTTGAGATGTGAAGCAACAAACGATAGATGTGGGGTTTGTGTGCAGTAATGAAAGTGCTGCTCTGGTCTCTGATGGTAATCTTACACTGGTTCATGGTGGCAGTGGCCGAACTAGGATTTTTCTGAATAAGAGGCCACCAAGGGGTCACAATATTTATGAAGGGGTCAAGTATATGTTCAACATCCTTGCACACAAATCCCTAGTTTTGGTAAGATAGATACATTTAACCAGTCATGCATATTCAAACGTGTAATTTAAAAATAAAAGCTTGCACACTAAATTCTTCTTACCAATTTTACATGCATTTTTACTGTATAAAATATCCTTAAACACACAGCATGTGATAAAATCCAGCCATTGTCTGTCAGCTGAAAGACTTTTTCTGCAGGATTGTTCAAATTTTCTTAAGAAGAGAATAATAATTCTGTAAGTTTGATTCATATACTTTTTTACTTGACTCGTTAGCCCCACTGGTGTCTGAACATGGAACATCACCCACAATCATTGCTCTTGAGCCAGATGAGTGACAGGACAGGGGCACATCAGGGGGCCAATCAGAGTTCACCTGGGACCAATGCCCCTGTGGCCCCGCCCMTAGAACTGCCCCTGCRTGGTGGTAAAGAAGGGGCTAAGTGAGAAGATGGTGGCTGGGCTCAGTCTTAATGTAGTATCTCAGTGGTGCAACTAGTTGGCARCTCAAAATTGCAAGAAATTTAAGAGAATTTCGGCAAATTTTTCAGTTTCAGTCTCACCGAGTTCTAAGTGTTTGATCTAATCGAGCTTTGCGACTGTGTTTTGAGCGGCCAGCTTTTGATAATCACAAACTATTTTTGTGTGAACGACTGGCAGAACCGCTACGACCTGCTTCGTGCCCACCTTAGCAGCTTACCCCACCTTTATAGTTTCAGTACAATTTTTGAAAAATAAGCAGATTTCAACCTGTTTTTTTTTTTGTTTTTTTTTTTGACTTGGCTAAAGAAAATGGAAAATTCTYGCAATCATTTCAAAACATTTTGAAGACTTTTTCCATTATATGACTCACTGGGAGGAGATGACCAGAAAGTCGRGACTTGCTGAAGCTATACAAACGTTTTATTACATAAATAACATAATCAATAATCAAAAGCATGGTGTTATTTCACTCAAGTCATTACTCTTTTCTGTACTGTGGGAGGCACTGTTGGATGTCTGGGATTACCTGATGCAGCAACTAAAAGAAATATTCAGCCCTGAGAAAAACAAACAGCCTTTCAAACAGTTGTAAAGTGTAACCTGTGCGCTTAGGTCACACTGATGAATATGTGAAATAATGGTGTGATCAGCACTTCCTCAGTTTTGTTGCACTAAAATAGTTTAAGTGGAACAGGAAAACTGTAAATAATAATAAAATTAAAATAAAAATCTGAGCTTTGTTCAGTAGTGGACTTTACGTGCCTTTAGGCGAAAAAACGTGGGACAAAAAATAATAATCAGTGTCTTTTTTCCCTTTACAATAAATAAGTACATCCACTAATCCAGTACCACAGGTGCACAAATACCTGTGTAAGCAGAGTTAATACTGATAAACGATCCTGAAAGGGAAAAAAAGGGAACAAGGAAAAGTTCCCACACTTTGACTGTTTTGTTTCTCTATGTCCTTTTTTTTCCAGTCCTGCCAAAATGCAAAGCGGTGTGCCAGCCATGAATGAAAAATAATGATGGGGGTGGAGGGGTGAAAGAGAATCGAGTAGAGAAGAACCAACACTGACTCGTGTAACTCACCTGTTGGTGCGAGTTTTTGTTTAGTGTTCATTCAGACAGCAGGCGGCTGGGCGGCCCCTCCCTGAGGCTGCCTCGGTTCCCAGGTAGAGAGAGAGAGAGAGAGAGAAGAGATGGGAGGAGAGTTCCCACCACGCTTCTTAACCGTTCTCACCGCATCTCATTGGTCAGTGGTTGCCTCATCGTTGAAACATGACACGACTGCAGCCGTGCAGGCAGGTGTGTGAAGCTGCAGGGCAAAGAGGAGCTGGTGAGTGTGTGCCAGACACGAGGACAAAGAGAGGCGCGAGGAGGAGGAGGAGGAAGCTGATGAGAAAGTTTCGCTCAGCTTTTTTCATGCCATCAGACTCTGTGTCACACATGTGAAGAGCAGTTGTGTGTTTGTGCACGGCAGCAGTTTTCAGCAGCTGCTTCACCAACCTGAAGTCGTGTGTACACAAACAGAGGGTATTTTGCCGATACATAGGCAAATGAGCCTTTTTAATCAAATGGTGGTGGTTCCCACACTCATGTCTGCAACATTATCTTTTTTAATCAGTCTGTGTTTTTGTTCAAGCCACTGCCGCACGAACTCTATGCAAATAATTTGAAAAAAAATCATACAATAAAGTTCTATGAACAGTTTGCCCTCAGCAGTTTTGTGCTCTTTGCACCATGATGCAAAAAAGCACAGTGAATCTAAAATTGTTATTTAGCTTGAAACATTCGTTTAATGTTGATAGTCAACAAGCATTTGCCTGTTTCAGTTTTTTTTTATATAAAGCCTTGGCGGTTGACATGAGTATCACGTTCTGCGATAGTAAAAAGCAAAACAGTTAAAGGGGGACATGCTAGAAACATGTTTTCCTTGATTTTACCCCTCAATATTTACATGTATACTTTTCCAACCGCCTCTCTAGGAGCATTTTTTTTTTCATTTTGCATGTCTGGAAACTAGAAAATGTGTAGATTTAATCTGTAGGTAGTTCATAATATTTTAACGTATGTGCACAAGATTTCAAGTGAGACTGTCGGATCGCTCTCTCTCTCTCTCTCTCTCTCTCTCTCTCTCTCTCTCTCTCTCTCTCTCTCTCTCTCTCTCTCTCTCTCTCTCTCTCAATGTAGCACAAAAGCAAAGAAAATAATGAAAAATAGTAAATCTAACACCAATGGAAAACATGTTTATTTCCCCTCAAATTGTGCCACTTGTCAGTATTTGTTGGTGGCATCCATGAAAAACTTGCCAAAACTTCTCTGCCGATAAGTTTATTTTGATCTTGACTTGTTTTGAGCTCCTAGTGTCCCGTGATGGTGCCTGATTATCAGCATGCATGAGCAAAATAATCTCATATCTCCACAACGACAACGCTCACTCCTTCAGATTGGGGTTTGTCAGAGACTTCCTCCAGAAGTGGCTCACCTGCAGTCCCAACCCATTCTCACTCCCAAGTCGTCACATAGTGACGCTTTGGCAAGGTTCCCTCTACGTCCGATTTTGACGCGCAGGGTACCCCCGTCACGTCAGTTACTGACGAGATGGGGCGGAAGCTGTTGTCATATKTTCAGAAAGTGTATAAAATGCGCAAAAACGACCGTTCCAAAGCCTGAAATTACCTTTGTTCACTTTAGACATCCTGTCCCTGACCGTAGTAGCTAAAATTAACCATTTTTATAAAATGTACGAAATTCACGTGAACATGTTCTGAAGCCTAAAATGACCTAATATTCACCATGCACATCCTACCCCTGATCCCAGTACCTAAACTTAACCATTAATCCTGATCCCTCATGTTAACCTCAGACCCCCGACGCAAAGACCCCTGGTGGCGCAACCCGGAAAAGCCGCGGGCGTCAAGGACTGAYGCGAGGGGGGTACCTGATGCGTCAAAATAAGACGCAGAGGGAACCTTACCTTAAGCGTCAATATGTGACGACTTGGGAGTGAGAATGTGTAGGCAGTCCTGACCTCAACCCCAATTCAGATGTGCTGCTTTGTCCAGAGTGATCAACACAACCACAATGGCTGACCTGTCCCCAATGCTGGTTGAAGAATGGGCTGTGTGACCAAGATCATGAGGATGTGTCACGCTGTTGTGGCTGTATATGGTTCTTCCACATTCTGCTGAAGCCATACGTTTATTACTAAAGTAGTCATAAAAATATTAAAAGAGAAGTTTCTTCAGTTATTAAACTCTGAACTTTTTAAAAATGATTTGGCCTTTGTGCTATTTGTTCCGCTTCATGTAATTGTAGGTCAGTTTGGCCCAGTTTAGTTTATGCTAATTACATCCCTACATGCCATTTGGAATTACAGTCTAAAACATTTCTTTAACAAAAACTCAGACAAAAACCTTTAATTTTACATTCTCAGATTACAACATTTAGAGCCGCATCAAAGTTTCTGCATTAACATTATCACCGGGATCATTTTGAAAGGTTAGCAAACATCACCAACTCGGTCCATCTGTTTATCTGTGAGGAACGGAACTTTAACTTTTGGATGTATTTGTAGACTTTTTTTTCTGTTTGCTCTTTTTTTTGTCGTCCTTTAAAAATCAACAAAAGGCAAGTGCACGGTGTGAGACTGAATGAGTCAGACGTGCATTATCTCAGCTGAGGCTGGCGTTTGTATCTGAATACTGAGCAGATATGAGCGAACGTGCTCTGCACCCAGGTCTGCCTTGAACTGCTGGGTATAGGTTCCTGAGGTCAGCTCTTGTTGCAGGATATCACTTGAGCAGGGGCACAGTGACAGCTGACTTCCTTGTGTGGCTTTCAAGAAGAACTATTTCCCATGCTTAGCACCAACCGATCTCCAGCAGGAAGTGCGTACACTGTGGGTGTCCATTTAAACTGCCTGTACAGGCTTTGAAAATCCTCTTTAAACTGTGTCATTTCCAAGGGATGCCTGATTAGTTGTAACATTAGACTTTATTTGATAAACATATATTTTAACTGTAAAATAAAGACTGTAAAAATACTGTAGGCTGTTTGGTTTTGTAAATTTTTAAATATGTATTTCAACATGGACAGAGCCATTTTATTTACACACAAAGCATTCTGGGTAAATGATGATGTGGATAGGTCCTCGGTGCGAGGCTGCTAGCGAGCTATATCCACCCTGAAGGTTAATCTTGGACAATATCTGATGATCGACTCTTTTAAATGAAACCAATATTACCAACTTTTAAAAACTGTTACGGCCAGAGGTCTTTCTTCTATGTTTATACT